CCCCCCCCCCCCCCCCCCCCCCCCCCGAACCCCACCAGTGTTCAAATTTGAGCATATTGGGTATTTGTGCCAAATTTGGTCCAATGAATGAAAATACATCTTGCATATCAGATATTTACATTACAATTCACAACAGTAGCAAAACTGCAGCTATGATGTAGCAACACAGATAATTGTATAGTTGGGAGTCACCACAACACGAGGAACTATATTAAGGGGTTGTGGCATTGGGAAGGTTGAGAACCACTGCTCTAAATGCATCAGACTGGCCCTGTTTGATGCAGAGGATGTTAGCTAGAGACTTACACATCTGGAACTGGTCATGGGTTCTAGTATCATTACCAAGATTATATGCATCCAGTGCTCTGAGAACTTGACAAGTTCTCCATAGGTGCATTCAGACTAAGCCAGTAGTCTGGTGGAGCAGTTTGAGCACTGGATAATGACTTTGGATAACAGGATTTGATTCTCTATGTCTCTATGGAAACAGACTGGATGACCTTGAATGAGTCACACACTCTCAGCCCCAGAAAACCCTGTGATAGTTTCACATTAGAGTCATCATATGTCTTGAAGGCACACAACAGCAACCTCAGTAAAACTGAAGTTCACCCAAACTGTTTCTGGGCAACAACATCTATTCTTGGAGATCCCAGGATGCGTATGTCACCCATCTGGCCGTAAAAATGTTTTCTGTGTCATGGAACGGAATGTGAAGACAGTAAATATTGTGCCTTTTGAAAATGCAAATACCTGATTTATCTTTGGGATCATTTCTAACTTTTTATCATTTCCATGCCATACATTTCTTCTCGTAGCTAACAACTCTCTTTTATTTTAAAAATTCACCAAGATGACTTATATTCTAACTATGCCTGTGCAGAAGTTACAAACACCGCCATAAACACATACTGCGCAGCAGAAAGAAGCCCTGTGGATTTCAAATACACATTTAGTACCAGAATATATTTTTGGACCCTTCTTCTGGAATGCACTGCTTTACAACACAGCTAATGTTAACACAAAGCTTCCCTGCTGTGCCTCACTCCATTAATTTCAACAGAAGCGGCTGGCAGGTTTGTTCTTCTTCATGACACCCAGTTTGTGATGCTGTAACAACAGTTACACTCCGATCAAGCAGCAAGAGCTTCCATTCATGGAGCAGCTTGGACTAACTTAAAACCAAAGAATGAAAGTGGTCCTAGTGCTTGTTCTGAAAAAGTAGGGTTCATCTATCATACCTCTACAGACCCATGAAGTGGATTTAAAAAAAAAAAAGCCTAACAGCAGTGGTTTTCAACGTGTGGGTCCCCAGATGTTGTGGCCTTCAACTCCCAGAAATCCTAACAGCTGGTAAACTGACTGGGATTTCTGGGAGTTGTAGGTCAAAACACCTGGGGACCCACAGGTTGAGAACCATTGTCTTACAGGATCAGATCCTTTTGTTCAGCATCCTATTTCCGATTATACTGGGCAGCCACAAAGGCAATGCACCACCAATCCTTTGTCTTTAGCATCTTGTTTTCCAAGAAGGTTGCATCTCTGGCTTGATCTACACTGCCATATAAAGCATTTTCGGAATACAAGCTGAAAACGTGCTGATCAAAAGTTCAGTAGTTTGAATCCGGGGAGCAGGGTGAGCTCCAGCTTCTGCCAACCTAGCAGTTTGAAAACATGAAAATGTGAGTAAATCAATAGGTACTGCTTCAGCGGGAAGGTAACAGCACTCCATGCAGTCAGACCAGCCACATGATCTTAGAGGCGTCTACAGACAATCCCTGCTCTTCACCTTAGAAATGGAGATTAGCACCACTCTTCAGATTCGGACACGACTACACTTAATGTCAGGGGAGAACCTTTACCTAGACTTATATAATCCAGTTCAAAGCAGATGTGGATTGATTTGGATTATATGGCAGTACGGAAGGGGGCTGTATTGTCAAAGGCTTTCATGGTCGGAATCACTGAATTGCTGTTAGAAGGAATCTCTCCTGACGTTTTGCCTGCATCTGTGGCAAACGCTATTGGAACATGGCCATACAGCCCGAAAAACTCACAGCAACTCTGAGTCTACACTGCCATATAATCGAGTTCAAAGCAGATAATTTGGATTTTATATGGCAGTATAGGTAAAGGTTGTCACCTGACATTAAGTCCAGTCATGTCTGACTCTGGGGTGTGGTGCTCATCTCCATTTCTAAGCTGAAGAGCCGGCGTTGTCCGTAGACACCTCCAAGGTCATGTGGCCAACATGACTGCATGGAGCGCCGTTACCTTCCCACCTGAGCGGTACCTATTGATCTACTCACATTTGCATGTTTTCAAACTGCTAGGTTGGCAGAAGCTAAGGCTGACAGCGGAAGCTCACGCCGCTCCCTGGAATCGAACCTGCAACCTTTCGATCAACAAGCTCAGCAGCTCAGTGCTTTAACCCACTGCGCCACCAGGGGCTCCTGGCAGTGTAGTAGGGGCCTAAATCACCCTATCCTCTCGGAGCCATTTTTAGTTTGATTGAGTCTATCCCTCTTGAAAGTGGTCTTCATCTTTTCCTACCAACTTGCCAGATATTATTGCCTTTTTTACTGAATCATATCTTTTCATGTTGTAGCAAAAATATGGCAGTGTCAGTAGTGTGATCTTGCCCTCTAGGGAGAATTCAGGCAACTCCCATCCACCTATTTTTACCAGGCGTCAGTTGAGAAGAGATGCATTCTGCTTGTGACTGGAGCATAACTGAATAATGTTTCCATCAAGTCCAGGTGGGCTGGGTCAGAAAAAGTTGCCTAAGTAACTGATAGAAACGAAATAACTAGCTTCACCTTACATTCAAAGCAATACTTGAAGCAGGAGCATCTAGTTGAATGTTTATAACAAAGTTTCTCAACAAATGCCTCAACCCCTTAATATTTATATATTTATATGCATTATTTCTACCCTGCTCATATCAGCCCGGAGGCGACTCAGAGCAGCGTACACAATCGGCACAATTCCATGCCATAAAAATACATACATTGATAAGCAAAAGAACCATTATAGTGCAATTAGACATAAGGCACTGCATGATAACAATATTAAAAGCTAAAAACTATATCCTTTCATTCAAGTCCTTATCCGTTCCATCGTCTTGGGCCATTCCTGGGTCATTTTCCAATTCAAGTTTGTCTGTTTATTCAGAGGTTCCAAATGCTTGCTCGAAGAGCCAAGTTTTTACTCTTTTCTAAAAGGTCAGGAGGGAGGGGGCTGATCTAATGTCCCTAGGCAGGGAGTTCCACAGTTAATACAGTTTCTCATGTTGTGGTGATGCCCAACCATAAAATTATTTTCATTGCTACTTCATAACTGTAATTTTGCTACTGTTATGAATCGTAATGTAAATCTCTGATATGCAGGATGTATTTTCATTCATTGGACCAAACTTGGCATAAAAACCCCAATTTGAATACTGGTGGGATTGAAGGGGGGATTGATTTTGTCATTTGGGAGTTGTAGTTGCTGGGATTTATAGTTCACCTACAATCAAAGAGCATTCTGAACCCCACCAATGATATAATTGGGCCAAATTTCCCACACAGAACCCCCATGCCTTGAAGGGACTTGCTGGCATGAGCCTCCCTCCAGCCTCTCACGCTCTCCCTCACCCACATATGTGTACCATGCTGCCATACGCCAAGGACGCCTGCTCTCCCCTCCCTGTTTGGAGTCTCAGAAACAGCCCTTCCCTTTTCTGAGAGGCTGCCCAATCACAGCGGAAGAGGGCTTTTGGTGGGAGGATTCACTGTCTGTTTCCAAAAAGGAAGAGAAAGACAGGCAGAGGCATCTTCAGCCTTCTCTGCCAAAGGGGTTCCTAAGACTGTCAGAAATATGTGTTTTCTGATGGTTTTGGGGGGTCCTGACACTCAGGTTGAGAAACAATGGTTTATAAGGTCTTTACCTTCTCTGCCAAAGAGTGCTGGTGCCTCATCAAAATACACATCCCATGATTCCCTAGCAATGAACCAGGGCAGCTACAGTGGTCTCAAACTTCTGCCCTTTCTCCAGTGTAAGCTCAATACTATGGAAGCCTTGGAGTTGTAGTTTGATAAGGTCTTTGGCCTTCTCTACACAAAAGGACTGACACCTCACTAAACTACAACTCCCAGGAATCCACAGCAGTAAGCTGTAGTTTCAAACTGCATTCTACAGCATATAGATGAGACATGGGCAAACTTGGGCCCTCCCTCCGGGTGTTTTGGACTTCAACTCCCACAGTTCCGAACAGCCATAGGCATATAGATCAGGCATGGGCAAACTTCAGTTCTCCTTCCAGGTGTTTTGGACTTCAACTCCCAGAATTCCAAACAGCCATAGGCATATAGATCAGGCATGGGCAAACTTGCCCCCCCCCCCCAGGTATTTTGGACTTCAACTCCCACAGTTCCTAACACCCATAGGCATATAGATCAGGCATGGACAAACTTCAGCCTTCCCTCCAGGTGTTTTGGACTTCAACTCCCACAATTCCTAACAGCCATAGGCATATAAATCAGGCATGAGGAAACTTGGGCCCTCCCTTCAGGTGTTTTGGACTTCAACTCCCACAATTCTGAACAGCCATAGGCATATAAATGAGGCATGGACAAACTTCAGCCTTCCCTCCAGCTGTTTTGGACTTCAACTCCCACAATTCCTAACAGCCATGGGCATATAGATTAAGTATGGGCAAACTTGGGCCCTCCCTCCAGGTATTTTGGACTTCAACTCCCAGAATTCCTATTAGGAAGTCCAAAATACCTGGAGGGAGGGCCCAAGTTTGCCCATGCCTGATATAGACCCATTCATTGTTTGGAGGCGCGCCTTCCAACTCGCTCTCCCTTTTCCTCTCTCTGCGCGCAGGAGGCTTAGTTCCGAATCCGACACCGGCGTTGGGGATTGGCTGCTCCGCCCTCCTCCTTCGTCCAATCAGAGCCCGAGGATGGTGAAGGCGCTGCCTATAAATTCGCCCCAATGGCAGCGTGTGCATCCGGCACGATGGAGAAGCGGCGCTTGCAGGAGATGCGCCTTTGCAGCTGTGCTCTGCGCCCCACGCCGGGCCTTTTCCTCTTCCTCTTCCTCCTTTGCACAGTGAGTACGGCTTCTTTCTTTGCAGGCTTGCGAGCCAAAAGGGTGGGTCTCCATTGCGGAAGGAATGCGGTTCGACATCTCTTTACCTGCCTTGGCTCAATGCTATGGAATCCTGGGAATGGCAACTCTACAAAGTCTCTAGCAGGCATGGGCAAACTTGGGCCTTCCCTCCAAATGTTTTCCTATTAGGAATTGTGGGAGTTGAAGTCCAAAACACCTGGAGGGAGGGCCCAAGTTTGCCCATGCCTGGTCTGTAGCCTTCTCTGCTCAAGAGTGTTGATGCCTCACCAAAGAGCAACTCCTAGGATTCAATAGCATTCAAGTGGTGCCAGACTGCATTCATTTTAGGGTGTAGATGTGCTTCATGGATGGTAACCGGGACTGTGGTGCAGCTGGCTGGGAATCGGCTGCATTAAGATCACTACTGACCAAAAGGTCATGAATTTGAAGTGGCACCGGTCAGAGTGAGCTTCCGACCATTGTGTGTAGCTTGCTGTTGACCTTTGCAGCCCAAAAGACAGTTGCATCTGTCAAGTAGGAAATTAGGTACTGCTTATTCAGGGAGGCTAATTTAACTAATTTACGATGCTATAAAATCTCTAGCAAGCAAAGAATGAGGAAGTACTCCATCAGTGTCTCAAGTGGACGGTGAAGCGACAGCTCTCTGGTGGCCAGAATACCATCATGAAAGCTGGAAAGTTAAATAGCCTCTCTGTGTCTGTCTATATCTGTTGTGTGTTTACGACATTGAATGTTTCTCATGTATAGGTACATTGTAATCCGCCCTGAGTCCTCTGCGGAGTGAGAAGGGTGGAATATAAATACTGTAAATAAATACATAAATAAATAACCCGCATTGGCGTCCTCCTCATCTTCTTCCAGGTGCCCAGCCAAGCAGAGGAGCCCAACTGCCTGCTGCCCTGTGATTGTCCCCCGGAGCCTCCACCATGTCCCCCAGGGGTGCCCTCCATCTTGGATGGATGCTCCTGCTGCTTGACCTGTGCCCAGCAAAGGGGCCAAAGCTGCTCAGAGAAGATGCCCTGCGATCAAAGCGCCGGCCTCTACTGTGACCGAGGGGCTGGCACCCAGGCTGGCATGGGCATTTGCATGGGTAAGTGGATAGTGGGGCTGTAAGAGCATAGCACAGAAGGGGATTCTACACCAGGCATGGTCAAACTTTGGCCCTCAAGGTATTTTGGACTTCAACTCCCACAATTTCTAACAGAGAATTGTGGGAGTTGGAAGTCCAAAACACCTGGAGGGCCGAAGTTTGCCCATGTCTGATCTACACTGTTCAACTTATGCTGTTTGATATCACAAGGTTCCATGTTCTAGAATCTTGGGATTTGTAGTTTGGTGAGGGAAAGCAAGCTAAAGACCATGTTCAAGGTAAGCTGCAACAGTTCTATCTACTTCAGCCAGAGCTTTCCAAACATTTCAGTTTTTATTCATGCATCATTCTGCAACATGGCAATTCAGTTTTACTAGCAAACCGACCCCTCATATGAGCTATATAACATATATAAACTTCAATAATGAAATATATGGAGATTCAGTGTATTTCACAAAAAGCTTTCACTTCAGTAAAGGTTTTCCCTGACATTAAGTCTAGTTGTGTCTGACTCTGAGGGTTGTTGCTCATCTCCATTTCTAAACCGAAGAGTCGGCGTTGTCTGCAGACACCTCCAAGGTCATGTGACCACCTTGACTACATGGAATGCCATTACCTTCCCGCTGGAGCTGTACCTATTGATCTACTCACATTTGCATGTTTTTGAACTGCTAGTTTGGCAGAAGTTGGGGCTAACAGCTGGAGCTCACACTGCTCCCCAGATCTGAACCGTCAAACTTTCGGTCAGCAAATTCAGCAGCTCAGGGGTTTAACCCACTGTGCCACAAGGAAGTAAAAATGTAAGCTTTTGATTATATATTAAAAAATATATGATTTATTGTTTATTTCACATAGACACTTTCTGTTTGTGTGACACACCTGCACACTGCAGCCGACACAGGAATGTGTTGCAAGATACAGTTCAGAAAATTCTCCATTAATCCATGGTGTTAAAGTTGTGTCAAACTGTGTCATTTCCACAGTGTAAGTGCACCCTAACATTCTGGAGACCAGGATATGAATCTCTGCAACCCATTGGGTGACGCAGTGGGCAAGGCACACTCTCAGCCTCTGGGAAAGAGAAGGGCAAACCCCTTTTAAATAAATGTTGCCAGACCAACAGTGTGATAGGGTCACTATAGGGTTGTCAGACGTGACTTGAAGGCACGTAGCAAAAATGGATAAGTATGATTTTTTTCTCTTGTAAATGTCCCAGGAGTCACATTTTTAAGCTCAGTTAAAAGTAAAACTCTTGTCTGATTTGTATGTTATAGCAAAAATCAGAGACAATTCCTTTACTGCTGTCTGCTGCTTCTTTTTTGATCTGCAGTAAGAATGACCCATTCATGCAGAAAAGTATTTTAAAATTGTTTCAAAAAATGGAGTGTTTTCAGGCTATATCTATGAGATGTGTATGAAACATAAATGAATGACTTATTTGTTTGTTTATTTACAACATTTATATTCCACCCTTCTCACCCCGAAGGGGACTCAGGGCAGGGCACGGCACAGCATATATACGGCAAACATTCAATGCCAGGACACAAATTCTTATATACATAAATAAACATTAAAAACATTTATCAAAATATTAAAATACACCATTTAAAACCATACTAGTCATCCACATCAAATCTAATTAGTCTGGTAATCTTTCCTATTGCTGCTTTATTGCCCTGTCCTGAAAGCTTGGTCCCACAGCTTAAAGGACAGGAAAGAGGAGGCTGACCTGATCTCACCAGTAAGGGAGTTCCATAACCAGGGAGCAATCACTGAGAAGGCCCTGTCTCTCGTCCCCATCAATCGTGCCTGTGACAATGGCAGGACGGAAAGCAGGGCCTCCCCGAAGGATCTTAAACTCCTGGGTCTCATCTCTAGGATATCTCATTATTATGTATCTACATACAAATACCTGTGTTCCAGAATCCCAAACATGTCAGGTTCCAAGCATTTCAGATATTGGATAATCAACCTGAACTGTTTGTGTTATGCTGTAGCCAGGAATGAGGATTGTATGACATCTCATGCCTTGGCTAGTACAGCTGATGAAGTGGAATGTTTGGAGTTGCAATCCTGCGACATACGAAGGGGATCTCCCTCTCTAAGCTTTGGTGTTTTATGGTCCATAAACAGCTGTTGCTTCCTCCATCAAACTTCTGTCTGACCTACATGGTTAGAGAATTTCAAAAAGCTGCCACCCAGTGTTTTGTGAATGGGGTTGTGTGGTAGCTGCGTCGACATTCTGCCTTTGCTCTCGTGTGTTAAGGTAGTGTAGAAAAGTTTACTTCGTCTCTTATGCTCACAACATTCTGGTGAGAAAGATAAGTCTTGAGAGTGAGTAACTGACCCAGGATTACCTAGTGAGTTTCATGACTGTGGGATTTGAATCTGATTCCCTTATATCGCAGTCTAGAACACTACTCACTACACCACACACCGTTCTTGGAGTGCAGAGCTTTTCAAATTGTGTTGTGACACATTTGTGTGTTTGCTGCGGTATGTAGGTGTGTCACATGAATGTTATAAGAAACTTCAGAGTTTGTGTGAAATAATCAGTAAAATGTAGATTTTAAACAATATAAATGAAAGGTTTTCATACATTTCGCTATTACAAGTTATGTATGTGTCCATATGGAGACCCCGGTGGTGCAGCAGGTTAAACCGCTGAGCTGTTGAACTTGCTGACCGAAAGGTTGGTGGTTCGACTCCGGGAAGCGAGGTGAGCTCCCGCTGTTGGCCCCAGCTTCTGCCAGCCTAGCAGTTCGAAAACATACAAATGTGAGTAGATCAATAGGTACCGCTTTCGCAGGAAGGTAACAGTGCTCCATGCAGTCATGCCAGCCACATGACCTTGGAGGTGCCTACGGACACGCCAGCTCTTTGGCTTAGAAATGGAGATGAGCACCACCTCCCAGAGTCGGACAAGACTAGACTTAATGTCAAGGGGAAACCTTTCCCTTTACCTTATATGTCCATATCTCTTAAAAGGGGTTGGTTTAACCTTCGGTTTGATAGTAAAGCCGAAGTACTGTGTCCCAAAGTGATGCACGTCCAAAAAGTGTGTCACAAACATGAAATATTTGGAAAGACCTGCTTTAGCATGTTATTATGGTTCATATGCCTCAGAGCTCCTCACGAATACCTGCTGTGGATTAACTATGATAGGGATGTGAAATGAAAGCATTGTTCCCAATAAGAAGTAGTTGAACGGTCTGATTGCTGCTTAGTGTTGTCTAAAATTTATATGTTAAATAATAATACTTTTAAAAATGGGGGGAAAAGTATCTGTTCCCCACAAGTAGCTGCAAATGTCTAGCATCGTACAGAGTGACTGGACTGAAAAATGTTCTAAAATTCACTCTGTTTATATCTTCTGGTATCATTTTGTTCTTGTTTTGTGCATTCCAGCCATTTCTGACTAACGGTAACCTTTAGGCAAACCATTCATGGGATTTTCCTGGCAGAATTTCTTAAGAGAAAATATGACTTGCCTAAGATGCATTCCCATGTCCAAGCCCTGTTTTCCCAGTATCCTACAAACTCATCACATTGAGAGGGGAAAGCATGGGTGACTGTCCCTTTAAGGTAGAGAATTGCCCCTCTTATATAGTCAACAGCCCCATTTTGAATTCTGCCTCCCCATCACACACGTGGAAACTTGAGAGCTGGTAATACATTCATCTTATATTCATCACAAGGTTAGTATTACTTTTTTGTTTTTTAATCAGGAGAAACAACAATCTCAAAACACCAAGAGATCTCTTGCCCTGCCCAAAGCCCCTTACATTAAAGGAGACTGACGCCCGTTTAAAATCTCATCTTCCCATGGGGAAAGTTGTTCTGCACCAAACTGCAGAGAATACAAGAGGCAGTGATCCAGGTTAAAACCATTGCTTTCAATGGGATCCTATTGTTCTGCACCTTACTTACTCAGGCGATCCCTCATTGTCCAAGTAGGATTGTCTTCCAAGATTGGTGTACTGGCAGTGGGTCCGTAGGTGACTGTGGAGCCCTATTCTTGATCTGCATCTTCTCCCACAGTGAGAGCATTGGTTTCCAGGTGGGAGGCGGTCCCAGTCGAGGTTGGCTCGACGCACCTTCCTTTGAATTGCCGACATTTTTCTGGCATTTCCTTATGGGTACCTTAAATACCTCCCTGCTTTTAAGCAGTACCTATTTATCTAATCACATTTTTCTTTCAAACCACTTTTGAACTAATCTTCCAGGGCACCCCATTGCTCACCTTCTGTCAAAAGTTGTACATAGTTGTGCTGGAGGACAAAGATTCCTACAGAGACCACATTAATTGAATTCATAAGTAATCAGATATGCTAAAGTAAAAAAACCACCAATGTTGAGGACCGACTGTAAATATTAAACTAGATCTCTTTTTCCACAAACTTTCCAAAAATAAGTTTCAATAACATTGCTTGGTTTCAACTCTTAAGCATGCACTAAAGTAGTGTTACTTCATAAAGTTGTCACGGTATTTGTTTTTATTTTTTAAATATTCAGTAGAACTGCACTACATATTTTATAAGACTTTTTCACTTAGACTTACTTAGTCTCTGGCCCATTCTGCCTCACTCTGAAGTGGCCTATGTTTTCATGTGAGTTGTAGATTTACAAGGTCTGTAGTCTTCTCTGCCAAAGAATGCTGGTGCCTCACCAGACTATAAGTCTCAAGATCCCATAGCATTGAACCAGGAAAATTAATGCTGTTAAACTGCATTATTTTTGTGACTTGGTCCTAGATGAGTGCAGAGCTTGGTTAACTCACTTTTTTGGATTCTTATTTCTATAATTTTCTAGCCACCTTGACTCAGTCCATGCAGGGTGAAGGATTCTGGGATTAACTTAAAAAAAAAAACCTTTCCCAGGCTCTGTGTAAATGTGTACAGAACGGTGGCCATAGCCACCCAAAGCTTTGTATTATACGCCAAACTTGGACTTGGAGGCGGCCAGATGTGGACATCCCAGTGCATACCCCAGCTTACTTCCTGGCTCCAGTTATGTGATAACTTCACAACTGTGGAATGTGCTCTCTGCTTGTAACACGCATGTTCTGGGAATCTTGACCCAGTTCCCAAGCCGGCAATCAAGAATCTTGTATAGAAGTCCCAAAATCAGCAACTAGAGTTTGTTTTCAGCAACACGAGAGCTATTAAATTCTATTTATGTTTTGCAAACTGAACACAGTGGAATTTTTTAGAAACGATGCTTGAAATAGCAGTCGTAATCCATCTGGCTTGCATGAATAGCCAGAATCTGAGAAAGTTGAATTTTGTGAACCAAAAAGACCGGCCTCTCCCTGCCATGGTGGCCATACTACTTGGAGTAGCCTGGGAGTTATAATTTCAAAAAATATCTCCAACTCTGCCTAGCAAAGTCCTGAATGCAAGAGACTTTCCTGCAAAAGGAAATGTGTTTGCTCTGAGGTTGTCATAAAACCCCAGGATATTGTAGTGTCACATTACCCATAGCATCTCTCTTGGCTGAGTCACTATCAGGTGGCTCAGCTACTCCAGAAGACAGGAGCAGAATTCAAAACCATTTTAATAGATTAGAGAGACGGGCCAAAACTAACAAAATGAACTTCAACAGAGTAAAAGTAAGATACAGAATGGGGGACACCTGGCTCAACAGCAGTATGTGTGAAAAAAAGATATTGGAGTCTTCGTGTACAACAAGTTAAACATGAGCCAACAATGTGATGCAGTCAATGGGATTTGACCTGTATAAATAATGTCTAGATCCAGGGAAGTCATGCTACCCCTCTATCTGCTTTGGTCAGACCATACCTGGAATACTGTGTCCAATTGTGGGCACTGCAGTTTAAGGGAGATGTTCAAAAGCTGGAATGTATCCAGAAAACCAAGGATCTGGCGAATAAGCCCTATGTGTAGTGGCTGAAAGAGCTGGGCATATTTGGCCTGAAGAAGAGAAGGCTGAGAGGAGACATGATAGCCGTGTATAAATATATGAGAAGTCATAGGGAGGAGGGAGCAGGCTTGTTTTCTGCTAGGAAGCAGAACAATGGCTTCAAACTACAGGAAATGAGATTTCACCTGAACATTAGGAAGAACCTCCTAACTGCGAGAGCTGTTCAGCAGTGGAACTCTCTGCACCAGATTGTGGTGGAGACTCCTTTTTGGAGGCTTTGAAACAAATGCTAGATGGCCATCTGTGATTTTCCTGCTTCTTGACAGGGGGTTGGACAAGATGGCCAATGAGGTCTCTTTCAACTATATGATTCTATGACAATCTGAAACCATTCTATTTAATGACATTGTTGTTGTATGCCTTTAAGTTGTTTCCAACTTATAGCAAACTTAAGACAACTCTATCACAATGTTTTCTGTGGCTCATAGTGTGTGAATCACCCATGGTTTTCACTGGCTGAACAGGGAATTGAACCTTGATCTCTAGAGTTGTAGGCCAACACTCAAACCATTAGACCACATAGCCTGTTGTGATAACAGCAGCTGATTATTAAGATCCAGTGGCTCTCCAGGGGTGCATCTACACAGTAGAAATACTGCAGTTTGACATAATTTTAACTGCCATGGTTCAGTATTATGGAATCATGGGAGCTGGAGTTTTACAAGGTCTTTACTGTTCTCTGCCAAATAGTGATGGTGCCATGCCAAGTTACAACCCTTGATTTGGTCTAATTTCAAACTGAATTAATTCCCCAGATGTATGTAGCCTGCAACTTCCCTTCTACCATGGCTAAAGGTTGGGATTGTAGGGGCTACAGTCCAAAAATATCTGGAGAGATGCAGTAGTCTACCACAGAGTGCTATAGTAGTTTGAGCACTGGACTATGACTGGAGACCAGAGTGTAATTCCCTGCTCAGCCATAATAGCCCCACTGGGTGACCTTCAAAAAGTCAAATGCACTTAGCCCCAGAAAAAAAACCATAAGGTGATGGTTATTAAGTCAGAGTTGATTTGGAGGCACACAACAACAATGGGATATGACTCTTTCAAATGTCCACTCCTGCCAAGGTAGGAGGTTTCCTCCCCAGCTGTGAACAGATTGACAACAAAGCCAAAGCAAACCTTGCATGTGGAAATGCTTTCAAGTTCCTAGCAATCCAGATTCCCAACAGAGAGACTGCATTGCAGCTGGAAGAGACCCATGGCCTTTTAATGGGTTTGCACTAAATGTCCAGGGAGCTGTTATTCAAAACAGTCCCTTCTGCCCTGTGATACCAGAAGTGGGCCAGTTAATATAATAGGATATGTACTTTGGTACACTGGAAAAATCTAATTCAGCTACATTTACACTGAAATGGGACATTTTTATCAACTAATTTAAAATTGGTGTTTAAATCTATTTTATATGACTACAGAGAAAAGCCTTGCGAGAAGGTTTTTAAAAAGGAAGTAGAACTTTGGAGAAATTAAAACAGCTGCATGAAATTTTGAATGCCCCATTTCCCACTTACCTCATCAATTCCCCCTTTTCAGATGTTCCTTTCTCTTTATCTCTCCACTCTTTTGTTTCCTGGATCTTACATGGATCCCAGCAAAAGTCACAGAATTAAGAGCTTCAGATTTTAGTATATGGAGCAGATAAGGTGCCTTAATGCCGGTGTTACTTGAGCATGAAATATATGCTTCAAGAAATCAGACGTGAATGAGTGCCTGATAATTATTTTCACCACTGGGTATTTTAATATGTGGAAATGACTAAGGATTCCTGATTTTAGTTCAAGATTACCATATGTTAGGTTCAAGGGTGTTTCTTAAGCTCTTGACATCCTAGTGCACTTTCTTTTCGAAGTGAATATCTTTCCTAGAAACCTCCAAGCGTGGGAATTGATTTCTTTAATAGGTTACAGGATCTCACTTGCAGTGCTTAAAATAAAATCACTCATTTTAATTCATTTTATAAAATCACTTAATTCTGGAGAAATGCTCATGTTGAGATCTAAACGTAAACCACTTTTCTAATAAATTTAGTTACATTCAATGTTATTGTTATCAAGTTTTAAATTTAACCAACTAATTATTTTAATTAATTCCTATCGTTCGAGACTGCATAGAAATTGTATTGTAATTGTCGGAGGGTTGCATCTGTCTGTAAGGTAGCTTTATGCATGTTGGGCTTTTTCACCAGCAAGTGGCATGAACCATAGTTAAGTGTACTAATGGTTCATATGCAGTTTGATTTCTTTGTTTCTTTGCTTCAGATCTCGAAGGAGACAACTGTGTGTTCGATGGAATTATTTACCGGAGTGGAGAGACATTCCAGCCGAACTGTAAATATCACTGTACGTGCAGAGATGGACAGATCGGCTGCGTGCCCCGATGCAACCTTGACCTCCTGCTTCCGGGTCCAGAGTGTCCCTTCCCACGAAAAATTGAAGTCCCCAAGGAATGCTGCGAGCAATGGTCTTGTGACTCCAAAGAGGATGTTGATGTGGGAGGCTTTGCAATGGCAGGTAAAGTAACTTACATTCTGAAAGCTACTTCTAAGTAAGGGGCAAGTGTCGTACTCCAGAGCAGAATCACCTCTGACTTCAAACACCACACCAGCTGGGCAAAATCAGCAAGCAGTTTATTTTGGAATATATGTAGCCAAAGCAGTAAAAAGAAAATCACAGTAAAAAGTAATCCAATTAATACAGCAACAGAGGCAATGCTGATGGAATCATTCCAGGAGTTGAGTGTGATGTTTGTAGACAGTCCACGTTTCACAGGTATATAACAGGGTTGGGAGGACAATAGCTTTATAAACAAGTACTTTGGTATCTCTACGGCTGTTCCAATCCTCAAACACTTTCTGCTTCTTGGATGTCTGAATTACTTCAACATGGAGTTTGACATTTGTCTTATAGCCATGCAAGGCTGCTTTTCTCCTTCTCTATTGATTTCTCCTTGACTTTATGGAAGGACAAAACTAGTTGTGCAGCAGGAAAGAGATGCAGCTAGACCATCCTAAAGGTAAAGGTTTCCCCTGACATTAAGTCTAGTTGTGTCCACCTCTGGGAGGTGGTGCTCATCTCCATTTCTAAGCCAAAGAGCTGCCGTTGTCTGTAGATACCTCCAAGGTCATGTGGCCAGCATGACTGCATGGAGCTCTGTTACCTTCCTGTAGAAGCATTAAGCCGTGACAGTTGAAGTGTGGTCAAACTGCATTAATTCTGCATTGAAGATGCACCCATAGTTGTCTTTTTGCCCATGTGATTGGATTAACTCGCTTTGCATAATGAACACAGAGTCTTTTTCTTAGCACCAAAAAGCCAAATCACTTCCAAAATACCACTTCTGGCTTAAATGGGGATTATTTCAAAGCTATACAACCCTTGGAAATCAGAAGACGCTTACTTCTTGGGAGGAGAGCAATGACCAATCTCGATAAAACAGTGAAGAGTAGAGACATCACACTAGCAACAAAGATCCGCATAGTTAAAGCAATGGTATTTTCTGTAGTAGTCTATGGATGTGAAAGCCGGACCATAAGGAAGGCTGAGCGAAGGAAGATAGATGCTTTTGAATTGTGGTGTTGGAGGAAAATTCTGAGAGTGGCTTGGACTGCAAGAAGATCCAACCAGTCTATACTTCAGGAAATAAAGCCCAACTGCTCATTGGAGGGAAGGATATTAGAGGCAAAGATGAAGTATTTTGGCCACATCATGAGAAGACAGGAAAGCTTAGAGAAAATGCTGGGGAAAATGGAAGGAAAAAGGAAGAGGGGCTGATCAAGGGCAAGATGGATGGATGGTATCCTTGAAGTGACTGTCTTGACCTTGAAGGAGCTGGAGGTGGTGATGGCTGACAGGGAGCTCTAGTGTGGGCTGGTCCATGAGGTCACGAAGAGTCAGAAGCGACTGAATGAATGAACAGCAACAACATGCAACCCTTAACAAATATCTGTAGAATTAGTATCTGCATACTGTACTATAGAGTTTCTCAGATTGTGCTTCTCCAGATGTTTTGGACTTCATCCCCCACAATTCCTAACAGCTGATAAACTGACTGGGATTTCTGGGAGTTGAAGTCCAATTCACCTCGACTGCTTGAGAAACATTGCTGTACTACACTATGCTAGGCCACAGAGGATTGCAGCCAAAATATGTTGTTGTTGTAGCCAATAAGTGGAAGCAGTCAAGGCATATGTGACTGACTGTATCTTCTCCGGTTATGTGATTGTGTTCATTACTGGATTTCACTACATTTTGTTTGTGTTGACCAAGGAACAGTGTTAATTGGCAATGTCTCTGCTGTAAATTTTGCTTTCAGCATATAGACAAGAAGCTACTCTTGGAATTGATGGTTCAGATTCAAGTTCCAATTGCATTGAGCAGACAACAGAATGGAGCGCATGTTCCACAACTTGTGGGATGGGGATCTCCACCCGAGTCACTAACAAGAACCCAACCTGTGAGATGGTGAAAGAGACTAGGCTCTGTGCAGTTCGGCCTTGTGAAAAGAGCCAGTTACTCCAAAAGGTATGTCTTGTTCTCTGGTTGACAAACAAGCCAGTCTGTTGCATGATGTGCTAACCCTCCATAAACCAGGACTGGGAAGCTATTACAATATAATGTGCTTTTGGGAGGGCATCACATTCCTCAGTAGTTGTTACAGTTACGTTCCAGATGGCATCCTTTTTGTGGCATAAGCAAATGTCAGTCTATCATATACTTGCATATGTATTTTTTTCATCCAAAGCTTTCCCAAGGCTCACCATTATGCATTGGTAGGACACACCTGCTATTCTATTGCTAGTGAAGAACAGAGAGGATTGGAAAGTCTTTGGTCCTTTAAGTTATATACCTAGGAAAGTCTTTGGTACCATCTTTGGTTCCAGATGGTATCTGCTGAGTGCAGTGAGGACCCCAACAGATTTTTGTATAAGATGTCCTTGGTCAACATCTGGCTGTAGAACAGAAATAGTCTGTACTATGATCCCTTTGTTACCCACCAGCCATGAAATGACTTGATGTATATGTAGGAGAAGTGACTTTAAAGGGTTGACAAGTGACCCATAGCTGAGTTTCCATATGACAAATTGTTATGTGAGACCTCACCATGTCAGATCACAATGTCCCTTGGATACAACTCTATTTTAACTAGTATCCATAGATTATTCTAATCTCAAAAGTTTGTGACAGTCTTGTTATTTTGTGTTTTGTCCAAAAGTGACTAAAACTATATGTGGGAGTGGAATTTCATTAAGAGGACAAATCATGCCTCCCTAGGTAACCCTAAAGCAAACCTATCATGGGGTTTTCTAGGGCAGATAATATATCCCCTGAATATAAGCCATAGTGTGTCTTCTTGAGGAAAAATAAATATAAAACAGTGTCTTATTTTCGGGAAAACATGATAGGTAAAGGTTTCCCCTGAAATTAAGTCTAATAGTGTCCGACTCTGGGGGGTGGTGCTCATCTCCATTTCTAAGCTGAAGAGCCAGATTATCCGTAGACACCTCCAAGGTCATGTGGCTAGCATGACTACTTACCTATCCACCAAAGCAGTACCTATTAATCTACTCACATTTGCATGTTTTGAACTGCTAAGTTGGCAGAAGCTGGGGCTAACAGCAAGAACGCGCCCTGCTCCCTGGATTCAAACCACCAACCTTTCAGTCAGCAAGTTCAGCAGCTCAGTGGTTTAACCTGCTATGCCACTGGGAGTTCTCGTTTTATTTCTTACTTGCCTTTCCTTATGGATCAAGGTGTATTACAGCATAATTAAAACACATAAACATTATAAAAATTCCACAGATATATGTATATATTAAACCGTAGTTCTAGAAAATGCATATTAAAATGCACAGAACAGAGACTAAACATAAGACGCGTGTTTAAAATTTATGCTTAAAACTAGATGGGTAGGCCTGCCGGAAGAGATACGTCTTTAGATGATTTTATACACATTAGTAAAAGGTAAAGAAACTGTCTCCAATGTTCACTTTGAGAACTCTACTGCTCCTGAGTGCCATATCATCTGGTGAGGCCCTGCTCTTAGTCCATCCCCTTCAGAGTCATGACTGGTGGGAACAAGAGACAGGGCCTTCTCCGTGGTGCCCCCCCAACTGTGGAACTCACTCCCCAATAACATTAGATCTGTCACTTCCCTCCTGACCTTTCATAAAAAATTGAAATCCTGGCTGTGGGATCAAACAATTGAACAATAGCTTGATCAACAGGGAAGAGAATGTTTTTAGTGGACTGCAATTGTATGGATCTGAATTATGACTTTGAACCAGCGAACTGTTTTAATTGATGGTTTATAATTGTTTTAACTGTTTAATTGTATTTATTATTTTTAATTGTATTGTGTCGGCATCTAATGGTTGCCTGTTGTAAGCTGTCCTCAGTCTCTTTACAGAGGTTGAGGACGGGATATAAATATTCAAAATAAATAAATAAAATCAGCACTGAATATTGACATGTGCAAAGCACTCGGCACAATACTGTGCACTGGATGAAACATAGAATGCTGGCAATGTTTTATGAAACTTTTACGGAGAGTTATTTCTCACAAAAAACAAATAGAGCTATTTCTTCAGAAGCACAGCAGTTTCATCATAGGAATGGATAAGCCACCTGCCTTCGAAGCTAAATAAAGCTACCTGCATCACTTTAAATAATAATAGAAGGGTGTAGCAAGGGACTTGCAGTCTGTTGTTTGCCCCCAAACCATTTGGGTGCTTACAAAATGTTTGAAGCTGCTTCAGGGGTATTCCTGAGCATCCAAGTGTGTCATTTCCGCTTGAATTCACTCCTTACATCATTGCATGACCAGATGACTAATTTCCAGAGCTTGTAAACAGCACTATTTTGAACTATCCCCTTGTGCAAAAAGAAATGTTTCCAAGTTCTGCTAATTTCATCCTTTAAAAGAGGTGCAGTCTACTAGCTAGTTCCTAACTCAAAGGCTCCCTCTACTGATCCCTCATCCATATGCATCAAAATTAGTTTTTCTTTTCTAGGAGTATGAAGGTGATCTGAAGTCTTCCTTCTGGAGTGGAAGTAGACTCCAAAATGCAGGGAAGAGGACTATTAGCTAGAATTTTAGATCTGGTTCTAGTACAGTGCCAAAGGTGGACAAACATAGTGGAAGAATTGAGGAACAAAGTGCCTCTGAGCCCACACAGAGTCCAAGAAGGCATGAGAACCAAATTCCCAAGTTCTTTTCACACACCAAAAATATCTGCTTGGGAGGAGGGTAGTTTTTAGGAAGGAAAAGACCAAAATCTGCTTCCACCAACCCAGATAGATGTTCAAAATGTTTAGGAGCATGACTCTGGGCTGGTGGAAGCAGACTTTGATCTCTTTTCTTACCCAAAGCACTTCTCCCTACCTTTAAATACATAGACCAGGGAGCCTGATGAAATAGGTGCACGAGGCAGGAATACAGGGTCTCTAAAATGGAGCAGAGATTCTTAACAGATAGCAAAAGGCAGATTCTAAACTCAAGCCATTTATTTTTCACCACAAAACATAATTTTTCAGCAGAGGAAGGGTTTTTTTTCAAAGTTCTGATCTATCCATACCCTGTCTATTGAAGTCTGTGTGCTTGCCTAACTGAATGCTCCTGGTTCAAGTGTTGCTTTGATTGTATGCAGGCAGAATCCCGTATCAGCTACTTAGGTTACTCTCTTGGCCCAGCCTCTATGAACTTAATGGAAACCTCATTTAGCCATGCTCCAATCACCAGCAGAATGCATCTCCTTCTCCCAGCTAATACCCAGTAAAGTAGGTCAGTGGGAGTTATAAGCATGGCAAGAGAATCAAAATCATGCCTGAATTCTCCCTTGAAGCCAAGATCAATAAACGGAGACATATTTTTGCCAGAAAAAGTAATAATACCTGGCAAGGTAGGAGACAACAGAGAAAAGAAAGATTGTGTTCCAAATGGATGGAAAACAGACAAGACAGAGGTTCTCCTGCTCAGTCGTGAGACAGATCAGGGTGGCATCCTGTGTTTGATGGGGCTAAACTCCCCTTGAGGACACAGGTTCACAGCTTTGGGGTTCTCCTGGACTCAGCGCTGACGTTTGATGCCCAAGTGTCAGCGGTGGCTGGGAGGACCTTTGCACAGTTGTACACCAGCTGAAACCATACCCTGAGAAGCCTGATTTAGCCACAGTGGTCCATGCCTTGGTTACATCCAGATAGAATTATTGCAGTGCACTGCACATGGGGCTGCCTTTGAAGATGGACCGGAAACTGCAATTGGTACAAAGGTCAACAGCCAAGTTTTTAACAAGCTAATTATAAGGGAGAGCACAATGCCCCTATTAAAGCAGCTCCACTAGCTGCCAAAAAGTTTACAATCCTAATTCAAGATGCATGTTATGACTTACAAAGCCCTAAACAGTTCAGGCCCTGCCTGTCTTTGTGATCGCATCTCCCCCATGAACCGGCGTGGGCTCTAAGATCTGCCGGGGAGGCCCTCCTCTCACTTCCACTACCATCACATGCACAGTTGATGGGGATGAAGGAGAGGGCCTTCTCAGTGGTGGCCACCTGATTTTGGAATGTCCTCCTTTCATAGAGAACTGAAAACCTGGATGTTCCAGCAAGTTTTCAAGAATGATTAGTCCCTAGGCCCAGTCCCTAGGTCACCAGTTAGTATACTGTTCTGCACTTCATCCACTTCCCTAGCCCTGTGATATGATGTTTGCACTTTCCCTCACCCAGCCCTTTTTATAGTTGATTACTGTCCATTTTAGCACTCCTGGCCATTGCTGTTGTTGAACCTCACCAGATCGAGTGCTGATGTATTCAGTTTTATATTTTATTTTACTTTTAGTGTGTTTTATCAGGGCTTTTTGTATATTATGAAATTTTTGTTTTATTTTTATTTTATTTTTATTTTTTATTATTTTGATTATCAAGTTTTAGTTATGTTGTTCTATATTGTCTAATTGTGTCTTGTCCTGATGTAAACTGTTTGTATACCTTTTCTTTTGGCATTGAATGTTTGCCATATTTGTTGGAAACGACCCTGATTCCCTTTGGGGAGATAGGGTGGTCTATAAATATTATTATTATTATTATTATTATTATTATTATTATTATTATTGACTCAATCAAAGAAGTCACAGTTCATTCGTAGTATTGATGCAAGAAGTGAACTTGACAGAAGTCATCTACAACAAATCCAGATCCTTTCCATATTATGGATGGTATTGCAATTTACCAAAATGCTGTGTGTGCCTTACTAGCAGGTTATTGCAGTGTTCTAACTATTAATTTGTGTTCTCTTTTAGAAGGGAAAGAGATGTGTCCGGACCAAGAAGTCTTTAATGGCCATCCACTTGGAGTATAATAACTGTACCAGTGTCCAGATGTACAAACCCCGCTATTGTGGTATCTGCAATGATGGACGTTGTTGCACCCCACACACTACTAAAACCATCCAGGTTGAGTTCCGTTGCCCTGAAGGGAATCTTATCAAACACCCTGTGATGTCCATCTCTACCTGCATTTGTCACGGCAACTGTCCGCAGGATAGCAACACATTCTTCCGAAAGCTTGGTTGAAAAATAACAGTCAGGGATATAAAATGAACTACTTCAAAAGGGAAACCATTAAAAATTACATCTGTAATAGAAATACCCAACTGGGTAATGGGTGTTTGTTTCCTTGTCTGAAAGTGTCAGGTTGAGGAAATATTGTACTTAAAGATAGTCTCATTTTCACTTAGTTCATTTGGAGTTTTTCAAAATCATTGCTTCAATTTCTGTCAGCCCATCCAAATATTGTATTCCAACATGACTTTCTTTAGTTAAGGCTTCTTAGAAACTACAAGCACTAAAGTCATTGTTTCTTAGCTTTGTGTGCTATTTCCAAATTTTTGGTGAAGTGTAAACTCTATGCACAAATGTTTGTATTCTGAAAAGGCCTTATCATTGTGCCCTTATGTGTCTGTAGAGTGGAGGGTTGAAACAAATCCAAATTTGACAGGAGAGTTTTTCTGAGATGGAAGCCAAAGGCATTTTCCAAGAAGCACCAATATGGGTGCATTTTTCCCAGCGTATGATTATGACTGTAAGAAACAAAAGCTTTCATTTTTATGGCTCAATTTCCAGCTCAAATTTCCCTTTGTTCTCCCCACTTCCACCCAAGAATCTGATACTAGGTTTTTACAACCGGTCGACTACCACTTTTCTAACCCTCTTCTGTTGATCCCAGAAGTGTCTCCAAGAGGGCACCATTGCCCTTAAAAAGCTGGAGAAGACTGCAAGTCTTAAAAGATGGCTGAAAAGTACATTTATTCAAGTCTCTTAAGTACTGAACCATCTGGTAGACTCTTCCATGGCCAGGAGGGGATAAAAGGAGTAAACAAGTTTTGAGGTTGTTCCAATTTGCTTTGACAAAAGTCAGTTACAGAAAATAGGAGTTGCAATGGTAACTATGTGCTGCAATAGTTGGCCCACTGAACTAGACTTGCATGTAGCTAAAGACAGCGGTGTCATATTCATGTGAATTTAGTTCTTAAGATGTTCATAGTACCTGAACTATGAGTATTGCAGATCCCAGGACAACATATTTCAACTGGGGTTAGGTTGCCAATTTTTCTTCAATCAGAGTTAGTATTCTGAAAGTATTCTGCGCAAAAGCTTAGAGTTGGACTTTCTTTTTGTGGTGAGAAAGCAAACACTGTAAATCTCTAAAGTTAGACTTATGTTTTATAGAAATGGCAATGTAAATAAGAAATATACATAGGGCAGCCCTGTTTTTCTGTAAAATGTTCAAATGTTACTGAATAAAATATACCTTAAAGCGTAATATAGTGTTTGGAGTCATCCAGAAACATCTTTGCTCTTCATAAGTCAAAAGCAGGAATGTGGTCCTGCAGATGATATTAGTCTGTAATTAAGAATTCATCTTCCTTATGCTGTTTAGGCTGATGGGAAGTGCAGTTAAACAGCATCAGGAGGACCAGAGTTTGTCCATCACTGGTCTATTAAAACATGCCTGACTACAGCATGGCACATTCACCCCAAATCTGCCTTGAAGCAAGTCTGTGAAGTCTTGGATCTGCCTTCTCCTCTCTTCTGCTTTAGTTCCCCCTGTTTATAGGCCTTCCCAATAGTGTGGACAACTTCCTTTGTATTAGTTTTTGGGTGGAGCTTAAAAATCCTCCAGAGGTCAGTCTTAGTTGGTCGATTCCATTTCCCTGTATAGAGCTCTTGCTGGACTCCTCCTTTTTCTGCATCAGAGCTACAGTTAACAGAGCTACAGATTGCCTGGTACCCTAAGCCCAAGCAATCCAAATAGGTATTCTTATCACCTGTATTAGCATCAGTACAAAGGACAACAGAAAGTTTTAACCATTTAAGCTTCACAGGAAATAAGATTAAGACAGTTTATAATCAACAACTTATATACTCCATTGCTTTGCATCAGAGGCAGAAGATTCCAGAGAGATGACTGCAGCCAGCAGAATTTCTTTTTGTAATGTATTGTTTTAAGTTACCTTATGATAGTCCTGGGTGGAGTTAACCCTTTATTCATCTTGTTTCAGTAAACTCATTTGGTTATCTTTTCACCTTGCCTAAAGTGCCTCTGTCTGCTAAAGGTCTTAATCTTAGAAGATGGTATACAGATAGCCCCGAGTAAAGCCAGACGATATAGTTTTCCCAAAGGCTCAGGTGTGCCATCAAAAAGTCAGATGAATTGTCATGAAATATTAAAGCTTACTTCTTTAAGATTGCAACAAGCAGTTGTCTGTCAGCCAGATTGATTTTATATCCATCCTTTCTCACTGGAAAGGAACCAAGGCAGTTAACAACTTGAATTAGACAGCACATCTAAAGCCAAACTGCTATAATATCAAAGTAGGCCAATAGTAAAACAAAACAGTGTTAGAAGTTCTAGAGCTTTACCATCAAAGAAGCTCTGGTTGTCTTATGTTTTAATTTGCTGTTAGCTATCTTGAGCCTAGTCCCAAAAGAAAAGTAGGATACATACTAATGAAATAAGTGGGTTTTATTAAAAGTTTGCTGTGATAGCCCTCTCTCGTGCAGCCATTCTATTGCTGGTAGGAGGTGGGCGTTCAGAGAAGCCTCCAGTTATGTCCCAATATACAGATGACATTTTCCTCAGAGATTTTCTGGTGTTCTTCAGATGTATGTCTCAGTAGCTCATATGATTCAAACACATAGTCCAGCAACATACAACCCCAACATAGTCACAATGTTCTTCTTTGCCAACACAAATAGTATAGATTTAGGCTTACTGCATTTCTGGTGATTCATTTCCTTTTGCCAACAAGCTTCTCTTATGGAGGTCAGGAAAAAAAATTCTAATGTCACTGGTTTGAATTTGGATATGGGAACATAACAGTATGTTTATCTCATCCCTTCCCCAAAATGGTCTTTAAGGAATGGCTCTCACAGCGGTTTGGGATGAGGGTCTGTGGCCATTGTAGAGGGTGGAAGAGACTATCAACATCCACTATAATCCAAAAAAGACATAAGCAGGTGTGTGCATGTTCCTGACATGATTTTGTTTCATGTCAAGAGCAACTTGGGAAACTGCAAGTCGCTTCTGGTGTGAGAGAATTGGCTGTCTGCAAGGATATTGCCCAGGGGTGCCTGGATGTTTGATATTTTACCATCCTTGTGGGAGGCTTCTCTCTTGTCCCCACATGGGGAGATGGAGCTGACAGAGGGAGCTCAACCCGCTCTCCCCAGATTTGAACCACTGACCTATTGGTCATCAGTCCTGCTGGCACAAGGATTTAACCCATTGCACCACCAGGATGCCAGCAGTCGTTATAATAGCTGAGATTCTGCATCACACTGGCAGATGATAAAGTTCCACAAGGCTTAAACTTTGTTTCCTTACCCTCCTAGTCAATCCACCTTTTCACCTGTCTGGGCACCCTTCCCCACCACCATTCTAAATTTGAATATTGAAGAAAACCTGCATGATTATGTTTTAACATACTGCGATTAATTCTTGCTGGCACTAGATGGAGTAATGAGAGCATTCAGTCTGTTTCTACCAATGTTTTTTTTTATGAAGTCAAAGTCTGCAGCCAGAAGAGTTGTTCTTTCTTACAGCAATTCCAACATACACCTATCATTGAAACTGACTGGCAATGGTTAAAGTTTTAGCCTCCAGAGGTTTTGTGCATTATTTTTTATTTGCTTGTTTTTACAAATTTCATGTTATTTTTGCTTGAGTGGCTTTATTTTCAGAGGAAGAATGTTGCAATGGAACAGAGCAGCCACAATAATTGATTAATTAGGCATTCTGATAAAGATGAATATTTTATTTATGCAGAATTAGCTGAAGGCGGTTGCTATTTCTGATTAACATTGGGACAGTATAGTTTTCCCTTCACTCAGTTTAACACTGGGGTGATGTCATTGAACAGTACAAGTACAAAACAAGGAAATCCTTGCAAGATGTAAATCAGTGTACTATTAAAATATTTATATCACACACTTCAAAACAAAGCATTCTACAATTAATTAATTGCAATATGAATCATAGTACTATAAATAAAAGATGAAAAGGAGACCAACAAGAGGGACTGGAAAATTCTCGACAATAGGCTAATAATAAGAAGCAGATCAGACAGTCATTGCAGGGTGCCTGCATGTTGGCACTTAGGGACCCATTTGACCTTGTTCATTAGATATTTCACTTTTGGTGCTACCAAAAAGAAGGTACCTTCTCTATGATCACACTCCTCCAAAAGAGCTTTGCTTTGCCTCCTCTCCCTGAACATTAAGAAAATCCCACCAGACACCAACTCATCCCTCTGCAATGCCAAAAATACAGCTTAATGGTGTAACAATAGAAAATTTTGACTATTTCCACTTCCTTGGCAGCCACCTCTCCACAAAAGTCAAGACTGACACTGAAATACAACACTGAGCTATGAGAGTGCAGCATTTTTTCAAACTAAGCAGTGTGTGATTGAAAATCCAGACATTTGTAGGGATACCAAGATGCTCGTTTATCAAGGTATTGTCCTCCCAACTCTGTTGTATGCCTGTGAAATGTGGACTGTCTACAGGTGTCACACGCAACTTCTGGAACGATTCCATCAGCATTGTTTCTCAAAACTCCTGCAAATCTCTTGTGTAGACAAGCAGACAAATGTTAGCATGCTGGAAAAAGTAACGACCACCAGCATTGAAGTGATGCTCCTCTGCCATCAACTCCACCTCGCTGTCCAAATGCCTGATCACCATCTCCCAAAGCAGTTACTATGCTCCCAACTCAAGAACAGAAAATGAAATGTTGATGGAAAGGAAAAGAGAGTTAAAGATGGGCTTAAAGCTAACCTTGAAAATGGTGGCATAGATACCGAGAACTGGGAAGCTCTGGCCCTCGAGTGTCCTAACTAGAAGTCAGCTGTTACCAACAGTGCTGTGGATTTTCAAGAGATATTAATGGAGAGTGAATGGGAAAATATGTCAAGAGAAAGACCAACACCTATCAGGACTTCCTTTTGTAGTGATGTCCTCCCTACAAAAGAGCCTATGGATCCAGAACAGGTCTCTACAGTCACTTACGGACCCATTGCCAAGACTCTACACTTGGAAGACAATCATACTCACCCATGAATGATAGCCTATGATAATGAGGGCCAGCTTTAGCATAGCAGGTTAAACACCAGCTGTAGTCAATCTTGTCTGTCAAAAGGCTGCCAGTTTGAAGCTCCTGGCTTTAGCCCAGCTTCTGCCCTCCTTGCAGTTCGAAAGCAAAAATGTGATTAGAGAAATAGGTACCACTCATAAAAAGCAGGGGAGGTATTTTGAGGCACCCAGAAGGAATGCTGGTGATTCGGTCCAAAGGAGGAAGTTATGAACTAGACCTTTGGCAGGGAGATGAAGCAATAGCACTCCCAGCCCACCCCGAGCCAGAACCGAACACAACACATTCCAAGATGCCAGAAAGATGGGGAAAGCTGATATATATACTTCTTATGTATGTTGGGTTTTTTTGTGGGGGGGGG